TGTAGGCGTCTCTTAGTGTGAATGCTGGGTGTTTGGCTGCAGAAACAATAACGTTTGCTGAGGGATACTGTCTAGACCAGTGATGGCGAACCTTTTGAGCTCGGCGTGCCAGCATTTTGGAAAACCCTAACTTAACTCTGGTGCTGCGTCACATATAGAAATGTTTTGATATTTGCAACCATAGTAAAACAAAGACTTATATTTTTGATATTTTATATTTTGATTTATTTTATATATTTAAATGCCATTTAACAAAGAAAAATCAACCAAAAAAATGAGTTCGTGTGTCACCTCTGACACGCGTGTCATAGGTTCACCATCACTGGTCTAGACCTTGCCAGTGGAGCTACATGCACGCTGCCCCCGCCCCCCACGATGGTGCCAAAACACAGCTTCTAGAATGTCTGGTCCAAAGAGCTTCAGATACGAGACTGTAGGCCTTGGCCTGTCTTCGCTCCTTTCGTCCTCACCACCGCCCAGGAGGAAGGTGCATTTTATGCCCGTTTAACAGATGAGGACACTAAGGCACAGAGAGGTTAAGAAACTTGCCTGCAGTCTCACAGCTAGGAAGGAGGCGGAGCCTGGACTGGAACCCAGGCCCTGTGTTTTAGGGGACTGTGCTCTGTTACTGTCCTGGGTTTTTGAGCATGTCCTGCGGGTGCACACACGCTCCCTTGGGGGACACGGAGGGTTGGACCTACCCGCCTCACGGGGCCTCTGCTAGTTCTGGGTCGGGTCCCACCCTGCTGAGCCACCTCAGAGCTGTGCCCTGGCAGGGCCTCTCTCCGTTCCGGGGCGCTAGGAGGGTGCAGGTGCCCAATACTTGAGGAAACCTCCCACCCAAAGTCTCCTTTCCAATTTGGGGGGAATGGTTTCCTCCCCCTCTGGCTGCTTCTGCCCCTTCCTCCTCCCCCAGGCACCCGTGTGGGTACTAATCCCCTCAGGCATCTCAGGCTATTGAGAAGGGAAGGGAGCCCTGGCCGGTGTGTTCAATGGTTAGAGCGTGGCCCGTGCACCAAAGGGTCATGGGTTCAATTCCCAGCCAAGGGCATGTACCTGAGTTGTGGGTTCACTCCCAACCCTGGTCAGGGGTCAGGGATCAGGGGTCAGGGGTCAGGGTACTGGTTGCTGGAGGCAACCAGTAAGACATCAATGTTTCTCTCTCTCTCTCTCCCCCCATCCCTCCCTCCCTCCTTCCACTCCCTTTGAAAAAGAATGGAAAAAAATACGCCCCCCCCCCCCATGAGGATTAACAACAACAAAAAGGAACAAAAGGGAGGACAGGAATAGCTCCCCTCCGGATTAGCTTAAGGAACCTCTATCCCTAGGTGGGGAGAAGAAAGTGAGACCTAAGCCTTATCCTTGCATCTTCTCTGGCAGCAAAACCAGCCTTTGCTCTGCCCGCTGCTCCCCTGCCTGGGCTGTTCCTGCCCCGATGCCACACCGATGCCCGATGCCCTTCAGGTCACAGCCCACATGTCCCCTCGGACCCCTGACCTTCCACCATGTTCTAGAACGAATGGTTTATTCCTTTCCAGTAGCGACCTCTCCTCGCTCGAGACTGTGAGCCCGACATGGACGGGCTCTGTGCGTGTCCACCTGTGTTCAGTGTCTGCACAGGGAGGGCCTCTGCACCCCTTCTCCTGTCACTCACACCCCCACTCTCAGGTCCCACGTCCCCCTCTGACTTCAGGGTGCCTCAGCCCCCAACCCCTTTCTCTGGGAGCTAACTCCTCCTTACAGTTTACTTTCAAATCCGATGTCCCGCCCTCGCTGGTTAGCTCAGTGGATAGGGCGGCAGTCTTGCGAACTGAATGGTCCTGGTTCTGATTCCGGTCAAGGGCCCATGCTGCAGGTTGAGGGCTCCGATTTTCAGAGATGGAAGGGTAGAGAGTGAGTGTAGATGTAAACACAAAGATGGAGAATCCTGTGATTGTGTGCCTCCCTGCACATCCCACCACCCAGCCATGTGCCCTTGACCAGAATCGAACCTGGGACCATTCAGTCTGCAGGCCGATGCTCTATCCACTGAGCCAAACTGGCTAGGCTAAAAATATATATATATTTTTTAAATCCCAAGTCCTGTCTGCTCCGGCCGGCCAGCCCTCCCCCGGAACCAGAAGCCGGATTGCACCGATGTGGCCTCCGCGCCAAGGCAGGCTCTGGACAGAGGTCCGGATCCCTGTCGGGTCGGGCCCATGCGGTGCCACAGTCAATGCCGAGGTCCTGGAGGCCACAGCGGCACATACCTGTGCCTCATCCTCCCAGGCCCTAGCTTTTCTCAGTGGAGGTGATGGACAAAACCATTCAGCAGGGAATAGAGTTGACAGCAACATTTGCATGACAATTTCACGACTGGAGCCCGAGGCCTGGCTGGAAACTGGCCCTGGGGGAGGCTGGCTTTGAGCTCGGTCCTCCTGGGGTCCCCAATTTCGGCTGCTAGAGCCACTGAGGCCCCAAGCATGCCGGCCTCACCTCCGTCCCCACCCTCAGAAAGCAGCTCACGGCTTCGGGCTCCCCAGCTGCCGCTCGGAGCCTTCCAAGAGCCCCGGGCTTTAGGGCTTGCAAGCCCCTGACCTGACCGCTCGGTTAACCCACAGCTGACAGAAGGTTCCAGAGGGAGGAGGGGCTGGCTTGGGGTGACGTCCCACCTCAGTGTGAGGGGCCCTGACCCACAGCACCGCGTGGTGGGGCTGAGCCGCCGGCTGTTCCAGGGGCGAGTGTGAGTGCGGCGGGGACCCCATCCTACCTGCCCGGAGCCCCCTCCTGGGCCAGCCCGCTCGGGGCGTCCAGCTTCGGTCCCCCGGGGCGACGGCTCTCAGGTCCCGGCTCTCAGGTCCCACGCAGGCCGGGCGGTGGTGCGGCTGGCAGGGGTCCCTGCAGGGAGAGGGAGGCTGCGGTTGGTGAGGGGATTGGGGCAGGGGGGGCGGTAGTGGTGTTGGATTCTGCAGCTCAGCTCTGAGCTCCCGCCCAGAACCCCCACTAGCCAGGGGCCTGAGAACAGCCACTCGGCGCTCCCTCCCGAGGGCCCAGGCCGGCGGCGCTGCTGCGGGAAGACTGGTGAGGAGGACTGCTCTCTGCCTGGGCGCAGGTCTGACCCACGTCAGGGGTGAAGGGCGGGTGCTTGCAAACCAGCGGGGGAGTGGGGGGGCGGGGGGGTGGTCAGGGGGGAAGGAGCCTGAGGCCCAGATGTACCTCCACGCTGCCTGGGGTCCCTGGATCTGGGTCTGGTGGGAGCACAACCAGATTCTGTTCCTTAAAGGGGCTGGGGGTGGGCTCCAGCTCCAAGAAGGGTATGTGGGTCCCCGGTGGGCAGGGGTGGCTTCTGGGTTCCTTAGGGGCATGGGGGGGGCTGGGAGGGGGGGCTCATGGTCTGGTTGCCCAAGGTGCTAAGGGCCTGAACCACCCAGGCAGGGGAGGAGAGCTGGGAGGGGTGTGGGGCTACGTGCTGGTGCCCAGGGACTCCGGGCAAATGCCAAATGCCGGCCGCCAGAGCACAAAATGGCGCCAGGCTCCTCTGAAGGGGCGGAGGGTGGTGCCCGTCATGGGGGGGAGGGCAGGGGCAGTCTCTGCACTGGGGACACTGGAGACTGTGAGATCGGGCTGAGGGAGGCTGGGACCCCACCTGCACCCCCAGGTGCCCCCCAGACTCCCAGCCTGGGTCCCGATTCAGAGCCAGGGCACTGGGCAGTGGGGCCCAGAAGGCTCCAAGACCCCCAGACCTGAGTGAGCCTCACTGGGGGCTGCGGCCCTGGGAGGGAGGGGTGGCATCCCAGCACCAAGTCCTTCCCAGCTCTGCCATCCTGAGGTCTGGACTTCTGGCCCCTTGGACACCCCGGCCCGGCCCTGCCGTGCTCTCTCCTGCCTCAGCACACACCACCCCAACATCTGTTCCCCCATCTGCTCGGGGGACCTGAGATCAGTGTTGAACATGGGGGCTCAGATGCCTGGACCCTGAGGCCTAAGACGGCAGACGGCAGACGGCAGGCTGGGCTGATGGGAAAGTCCTCAGACCCCAAGCCCAGGGCCCTCCCACCGGGCGTCCTGGGGGAATCAGCCATCTGCCTCCCCTGCCCCACAGGGCCCCGCACCCGCTCCTCACCGCCCCCCACCCCCACCCGCCTGTCTCCTCGCCCTCAGCACGGTTCTCTGGGCTGTGCACCTGGGGGGAAAGGGTTAAGGGCCGTGGAGGCTGGGGGTGGGTGGCGGGGAGGCCCAGTGGTTTGGCGATAATCCCCTCCGTGCCCCGGGTGTGGAGAACAAGGTTAGGGCACCATGTGGGAAAGGGCCTCACTCTGATCCCCGTGGGCCGGGGCCTGGCCTCCAGCTTCTGATCGCCCGCCCGCCCGCCCGCACCTTCCCTCCTCCCCTTCCCACCGCCAGGCCTGGCCGGGCCTGCTGGGCTGTCTGTGCTCTTGATTCCAGATGCCTCAGCCACAGCCTGTCTGTCTGTCCCAGCCCGTAGGCGCCCTGGGCCCTGCCGACTCCCCGTGGACGCTGGGTGCCCGGGCCTCCCGGCCTCCCCTCGGTGCCTGTGTCTCTCCGCCGCTTGCTCTCGTCTGTCTCTGCGGCTGTGCCCTGGCTCGTAGTCTAGTCCTTTGTCTTGGAGCTTCATCCATTTCTAAACGCCCCTCCCCTGCCCAGCTCTGACCCACTACCCTGATCTGATGCCCTCCCTCAGGCTCGCCACCTGCCCCCCCCCCGTGCCCTCTCCCCAGGGCCCCTGCCCCCCAACACTGACAGATCGCTCTGGGGTGTTAAGCTACGGATTAGTTCAGGCAAAATTCTCGATTTTGCTTGCGTTCTTTCCCCTTCGGGTTGTGTAAACAGTAATTCTCCCCAGATGGAACTATTTTCCTCGCTTAGAGCAGCCGGGAGGGCTCCGGCGGGGCTGGGTGGAATGCCGGGGTCTCGGGGGGCCTGAGGGAGCCGGTGGAGGCTGACACTTGAGGACAGCCTGAGGCTCCCAGCCTGGCCCCTCCTGTCCTCCCCAGGTACTTGCCCTGCTGGGACCATGTCCGTGACCTTCGCCCTCTTGCTCCTCCTGAGCCAGGCCACCTCAGACCCCTGCTACCACCCGGGGGGCCGCCCCCGCTTCTGCCTCCCGCCCGTGACCCAGCTGGCTGGCGTGGCGGCCTCCTGCCCCCAGGCCTGCACTCTCTCCACAGGGGCCGAGGGCAGCAGGGCCACCTGCAATGGCAGTGTGACCCTGGCCCTGGGGGGCTCCTTCCTCCTGGCGTCCGTCAGCCTGCGCTTCTGCACCCCAGGACCCCCAGCCCTGGTCCTATCGGCCGCCTGGGCCACGGGGGGCCCCTGGAGATCGCTGTGGCGCCGACCCACCTGGCCCGGCGCCTTGGGGGGCCCCGAAAAAGTGACCTTCCGTGCCCCAGCAGGCTCTAAGGCCAGCGTGGTGGCCAGTCACCTCCGAGTGGAGTTTGGGGGCCGGGCAGGGCTGGCCGCAGCCGGAGTGAGAGGACGCTGCCAGTGCCACGGCCACGCCGCCCGCTGCGCGGCCCGTGCCCGGCCCCCCCGCTGCCGCTGCCGCCACCACACCACCGGCCCGGGGTGCGAGAGCTGCCGCCCGTCCCACCGAGACTGGCCCTGGCGGCCTGCCACACCCTGGCACCCCCACCCTTGCCTACGTGAGTCCTGGGCCCGCTCTCCCCAACCTCACCCACCACCAGGCCCACGGTCCCCTGTCCCTAAGGGGCAGGATGCTCTCCCGCCCCAGAGCTGCCTGCTCCTTGCTTCTCCCCTCACTGTTCTCCAGCTGGGGGTCCCCTCTTCACCTCCCCCCACAGGCTCTACTGCCTACCCCGCTTCTCTGCTGCCTACCTGCCCAATAGGGGGCCCCTGCTCTCCCTGACCCTCAATCACAATGATAATGATAATGACACGAATAAACACCCAGCCCAGGGCCTGGCTTGCTGCAGGGGCCCTGTCCTGACTCATTCATTGTGCAGCTGTCACCCGCTGCGTGCTGGGCAGGCACTGTCAGCAGGCCCATCTTACAGATGAGGAGACTGAGGCTAGAGTTGGGAAGTCCCTTGAGCACGGACACAGCCAGTAAGTGGCCGGGCCAGAAGCGGGGCTGGGGGTCTTGGCTTGTCCCTGCCAAGCTCCTGTCCGGCGCCGCCACACTCAGTGTCCTCGGGCAGCAGACAGGACTCACTGCCTGGGCTCTCCTTCCGGCTCCTCTGGTGTGATCCTCGCAAGTGGCCCAACCTCTCTCTGCCTCCGTTTCCCCACCTGTAAAGTGGGGGCAGTAACAGTATTTCCTTTATGGGCGGCAGTGAAACTCCAACGAGCTCATTCATATACAGGGAGTCCTTAGAGCAGGGGTGGGGAACGTCCGGCCCTCGGGCCACCTAAGGCCCGAGAAATCATTGGGTCTGGCCCTGCCAAGGCATCCGGGATGAGTTCATTGAATGTTTGACCAACTACAGCAGGCTGGCTTTTAAGTCGATAATATCGTATGGCCCTCGAATGACGTTATACATGTCCAGTGGCCCTTGGCAGAAAAAAGGGAACCCACCCCTGCCTTGGAGTAAAGCCTCATGGGGCACCTGGCACCGAGGAAGAGCTTGCGGGGTCTCTGCCAATGTTGCCATCCCCCAGACACGGAGGCAAGGCCGGGCCCGCATCCATCACCTGCCTAAGTCTCACTGCCAGCAAGGGCCGCCCCCAGCGCTCCCCGGGCCTGGCCCCTGGCCCGCTCAGCGCCTTCTCCCGCCTGGTGCTCCCAGACTGCAGCTCTGAGTCTGGCCCCCTCCCCCTTCCCTGCAGAAGCCCCTCCTCAGAGAGCCCCCCTGCTCCTCCCGCCTCCAGCTGGCAGCCCTTGCTAGCTGGTCTGAGGCCCTGGGAGGTGACCCCACTCCACTGAGATACACACAGACACACACACACAGGCACAAAGACAGACACACACACACACACACACTCACTCCAACTCCCTGGACGACCCTCCCTCTACCTCCCACGTGCTTAGCCCTTTTCACCCTGTTTCTTCCTGCAATGACTGACTTACAGACCGTCCATTGTCCTCAGCTCCCCACTCTATCCTCATCCTAACGGGGGTCCTCCTTGACCCTCTGCCCCCACCACCTCAGGGCCTCTGTTCAGTGGATCCATTCCCACCAGCCAGATCTGAGGGAGGGAGGGGAGATAACATGGCCTGGGGGTGCAGTGGGGCTCATCCTGGGTCTGGGAAGAACCTGGGAGCAGGGGGAGGCTGTCTCTCTGCGAATCACCTCCTCCCCATGCTCCACCAGGCTGAGCTGGGCTGTGGCCTCTGCACCTGAGTACGAGACCAACTGTTGTGACGGAGAAGGGTGGAGACAGGATGGGACTCACTCCTGTGGTGAAGCTGCAGGCTTTCCGGAAGTGGTGGCCTGAACCCCTTCCCCACCTGAGTTCTCCACAGGGGAGTGAGGTGATGCGATCACCCTCCCGTCAGAAAGAACCCAAAGGTCACTAATCACCCGATTACCAATTGAGATCCCCACCGAACAGGGAGGAAACCGAGGCTCAGAGAGGCAGCATCATTTCCCCAAGAACACACAGACACCCCGGCTCCCTGATGACCTTCCCACTATCCCTCTGGGTCTCGGGACTTGCCAGCCCAGCCTCTCCACCCTCCTGGAGTCCACAGCTCCTTCGATCGCTCCGAGGAGTGGTCCAGGGACCCCCACAGCAGCATCTCACTTTGGGATGTTTGCTAGAAATACAGACCCCTGGGCCCAGCAGAAGCCCCGGGGCTGGGCCCTGGAATCTGCATTGTTCTTTTTCAACGTCTCGCCCGGGAATCCTGATAAACAGTAAGATTTGAGAGCCACTGCCTTCGGACACCTGATCAGTGCTCCCCGGACAATGTCCACAGTCCTCAGAGAATCCTGTGAACTATGTAGGAGCACAGACTCCGGAGCCCGAAGGCCTGGGTTCCAATCCTGCCCCTGACCGCCCCTCAGCTGAGTTACCTTGGGCAGGTGCCCTCACCTCTCTGTGCCTCAGTTTTCACATCTGTAAAATGGGGATGGGGATAGCGCCGGCCTCACAGAGCTGCCGCGAGAATGCCACACACCGGGCACTCAGCCCCTGGCGCGCGGAAGCTCTCAACGGGCAGGTCCGTGCATTGTGTCAGGCCCTGAGTTAAGCACTTTATATCAATTAGGTTTCATTTAAACCGCACGAAGCAGATAATGTAAGTGTCATTTTACAGCAAAGGCAGCTGAGCTACAAAAAGGAGAAGTCAAATGCCCAAGGAACACAGTGGGACATGAACACGTAGGGCAGTGATGGCGAACCTATGACACGTGTGTCAGAGGTGACACACAAACTCATTTTTTTGGTTGATTTTTCTTTGTTAAATGGCATTTAAATATATAAAATAAATATCAAAAATATAAGTTTTTGTTTTACTATGGTTGCAAATATCAAAAAATTTCTATATGTGACCCGGCACCAGAGTTAAGTTAGGGTTTTTCAAAATGCTGACACGCCGAGCTCAAAAGGTTCGCCATCACTGACGTAGGGTCTGACTCCGTAGCCCACGCCCAGAGCTGCCGCTCTGTAAGCCCCCTGGTTTCACACCATCGAGGTTCATCAGTCCCTGGGGCTTACCCGGCTCCAGAGCCCCCATTTTAAAGACGAGAATAAAGAGGTTCTGAGACCCAGGCTTAACCAGGTACCCCCATCAGGCAGTCTGTTTTAGGTTGTATCCTCAGTCAATATCCTGAGGGCAGGGGGAGAAAACTGGGGACAGGAAACAGAAAGCCAGGGTCTGATGGGCCCCATCTCGCTCCCAGCCTGTTCCTGCAACCAGCACGCCCGCCGCTGCAGGTTCAACTCGGAGCTGTTCCGGCTGTCGGGGGGCCGGAGTGGCGGTGTCTGCGAGCGATGCCGCCACCACACGGCCGGGCGGCACTGCCACTACTGCCAGCCAGGGTTCTGGAGGGACCCCGGGCAGCCTATCACCAGCCGTAAGGCCTGCAGGGGTGAGTGCAGACTGAAGCCCAGCCTCGGCGGGTCTGAGGCCGGAGGGGCTGGGGAACGGAGAGGGGGCGTCTAGGGCCCAGACACCCACATCCAAGATCCTCTCTTCACACAGCCTGCCAGTGCCACCCCATTGGGGCGACGGGCGGCACCTGCAACCAGACCAGCGGGCAATGTTCCTGCAAGATAGGGGTCACGGGCCTGACGTGCAGCCGCTGTGGCCCTGGCTACCAGCAGAGCCGCTCCCCCCGGATGCCCTGCCAGCGTGAGTCCTGAGGGGCCACCGTCCTGCGTGGGGTTGGAAGGAAACATCACAGATCTCCAGTGGACAAGCAGGACGAGGGCTGGGTCCTGGGATGGGGGCGAGAGGCAGGAGGCCGGACTCTGGTTTCCGGGGGGGAAGTGGGGACTGAAAGTCCGGTCTCCTCGGTCGGTCTCAGTCTCGGAGAGGAAAAGGCTGGGGGCCTGGACTCCTCCATCTGAGGGAGGCGGGGCTGGGGGTGCAGATTCCTGGGTCTGAAGGAAGAAGGTCCGGAGAGAAGGGCAAAGGGTGCTTGCCCT